GTTGTATCTCCTCATTTTCGGAGCTATTTGGTTGGTCCTCCCGGTGTCCTACATTGTTCGACCATTCCATGTACCTATATTAATTGTTGCTCTGGTTGTTAGAAGTGCATCGACCTCGTGACTTCCGAATAATCTTGGTATTCATCATGAGGCGTCATAATTCTTCTGTTAACTCGGAGGGCAAAATTTACATGGTTTAAATTGTTTACTCTGGATAACGTTTTTTCTACGGGATGAATTTGCTCATCCTATGCCCAACCCTCCTACTTTATCCGATCTTGAAACCGGCACTATCTCTAGAAGGGCTACAGGCGGTGATTGATATAATGTATTTAGTATTTGTCGATCATCTGCTTAACACTGGTCATGATGTTGACGTCTCAAAATCCTTCAAGATTAATGATACACAGAGAACATCAAATTCTCACCTATTATCTGATCCGTATTCAGTTATTTAATTTTGATTTGAGTTACATAACTATGACATAAATATATATTATTTCCAAACAATTCTGTTCCTACGTTCTTACTTGTTTATTCTAGAATGTTCTTATATTCAACTAGCCCTCAAATGTCTTGGTACGGCTGAGAGTGGGGAGAGTGAGCTCTCCCTCTCCAAATGCTCTCAAGTGGCCACGTGCAACCACTGCCACAGAAGTCTTACTTACTGCCTTCTCTCGGCATTACAGTCGTTTCCGAAATTGAAAGGACGAAAAGCGAATGTCTGGTGTTTTAACCGAGTTGGTGGACACGGAGAGTCCACCAAGGGGAGTTGGAAAACCCCGATTCAAAACCAATGATGTGCATGAGCTCCAGGATCCTGAAGGAACAAATGGCGTATGAACCAATTATTGGTCACCGGCTACCATGGAAATACATCTCCTGACGTTGCTCCACTGCCTTATGGGTCAGATCTGTAGGTCAAAGGCTACGGGTATGACCTCCTGATAAAACTACCTGCTTCGGTCTGGGCTCCCAGGTAGTATCACAGCCCACACACAAATCAAGTGACTTGTGTGACGCATATGTATTCGGTGTCTCCTTGTACCAATGTTTATGCGTTTAAATAAATACTTAAGAAAATTCACATTGATTAACATGTGAACACCTTTCGTCATTTTCTCACATTTATTGTCCTTTTCATTAATCTGCATTGGTGAGAACTCTTCCGAAATTATGATACATAAAATATGTATACTGATTTCTTTTTTAAGATTAATTGCACAAACAATTGGCTATCAGCTTTCAGTAGCTAAATGGATAACGTGATAGGGTTTGAAGCGGACGGTACTGGATTCCAGCCCTAGAGTGAATGTTAACTCTGAGATGCAGGTACATCCAGCTGACGAGTATCAAAATAGGACATAACGCGCGTCGTGGATTCCACTGCTAGCCACTCTCTATCTTTCCTATTATGTTTAGGTTGTAAGCAACTGATAAGTAACTGCAAAATACAATAAATTCATTTTATTTTGGACAGCTGTCTCATCCCAGTATATGGAACTTCTCATCAGTGTGCACCGATAATTCTGCCTGCGAGATTCGAACCCACAACCTTCGATCTCGCGCGCGCACTGCTAAAGAGTCCCAGTTTAGGACAAAACGGTCGTTCAATACTTCCAGGTTTTCAACGGCGATCTAAAATTTATTGATTCATGATCTCAACCAAAAACTCAACAATTTCCACAACCCTATACTCGTTTTATTGTACTAAATTAATTGTTCTTGCTTTAGTTATTAGTCATTGAGCATTTCTAGCTAATGTCATTATGGCTATCTAGCTAGAAAGTTGTTTCCTTGATCTGGGACTAGTATTATTAGTAATATGTATATGAGTGTTTTCATTTCAGAAGAGCCGCACTTTTTAAACTTCAAAAGGTTAGTAGTTTCAATAATTATAGTATAATTCAGTAATGATATAACTAGCTGTGTCAACTATAAATCATGGAAACAATTACTTTGTATTATCAGCCAACTCAAGTAAGCGACCAATATTGTGGTGATCTACATTCACAATTGATTGATCACTGGGTGGTGATCAATGTCATGTGTGTCAGATTCTTCTTAGTGCAGATCGAATGTTATTGACCAAGTTGTAATGTGGCCACTAGTCTAGGTGACTCGACATTGCATGTACTATGTTGAGATAAGATGGTAGTTGCAGGTAGTCAACAGGAAACTCTGGACACGGGTTTCGTGCTATTTGGTACTCGTCAACAAGTTGTACCTGTAATCTTCAGGGAATTGATGCTCCCTGACAAACTTGGTCCTGTGTCACCCAGCTTCACAGTGAGAGATGTAACCAGTGGGACATCCTGGCCGTGACTGACCTGTTGTTGAACTGAGATGTATTCACAATTGATTGATCACTGGGTGGTGTTGAACAATATTAATGAGCCATAATACATGAATTTCTGGAATCCGATTAGTCCGATTATTTCTTGATACAATAAAATATGCAAGTATGACATACTTGACCAACAGAATTCGATCAGTAATAATATATTATAGATGACATTGGTTAGTGTTCATTGATCAGTCAATCTGAATATATCAATCCTACTGAATGTCTTAATAGTTTAATGGAATGATCTCTGCGTGTTATACTGAGTGATATCGGTCTGAATTCTATGGAGAACTTTAATCTCCTCAAGGTTTCACATACCTCTTATTCATGAGTACCGACCATTCTAAAGTCTGTATCGAAAACTTTCTGTTGATTACCTCCAAGGACCTAATATTTTGATACTATAAGTTTTACTAATCTCTTTGCAAGAGGTTAACTTCTATCACAATTAGACACTATCCACAGAACTGATGTATGATATTGTGACATGATACACTTAATGTCTTCAAACTTGGGATAAATCAGAATGTATCATATTATAACGATGAGTTAGGCATTATCTAAATCAATACAGTTGTCAGTTAATCTACTTTTGAATCCACTATTTCATCGATGCTTTATATGGATTAATTCAATTCAGATAATTACACTATTTGTAATATTGGGTCTTAACTAGTCAATATGACTGTAATGAATTTTACGTTATTGCTTAATTTTCGACTATAATTACACAACTAGATAAAATCTTAATTTGTATCTAAAATGGCATTTCTTACATACTTGCTTACTTACTCCTGTTACTCCCAATGGAACATAGGCCGCTAACCAGCAAAATGGCATTTCGCTGAGATTATAAATCATGGACGACCGTTGAGCAACGCTGAAGTAACCATGAGAGTGTTTATCTAACGGCCGGTATCAAATGAGGGTTATAAACTAGTGTGAGGAATTAGAATTATGATTTACAGTTGATAATTAGGATTAGGAATTAGATTTAGCGGTTTCATCACGAACTGACATCAGCTATAATGACAAAACTTTATTTAACCAAATGGATGAGTGAAAATTCGAGACCTATTATCTTATACCTGATCGGTTTGTCCATAAATTATAGTCTCGCCGGTATTTCTTCTTAGGTGGCTGATCATATTGTAGCGGTAAATAAATCCTCAAAATCACTAGCTCTGTAAATCTTCGACATTTGATGCTGATCACATTTGTTTTAATGAACTCACTTAACTAAAGGCGCACCAGATCACGAGTTGATGCATTGTGCTCAACTTCTCTTACAACTGCTAGCCAGTTTAGAACAGTCACCTCTTGATATATCGATAGTCTATCAAATATATCTTCGAATCTCTTCACTTCAAACTTCTGATTTCATTGGGTTGGTACGTTTCGATTATAGAAGATCTTAATAGTTAAGGTATTGTCAAACTTCAAACACTTGTGACATCTTTAATATCAATGAAATTTACATCAGAAGTACTATCATTATCTATTTAGGATTGGTTGTGAATAGACCATGTTTGATATTATTCATATAACTAAATGTAATACCATTTATCTACAGCTAATACAAATTGAAACCAAACATACAAACTTATTTATTATACCCATCCATAGAGAAAACAAATTTTCTTTTGGATTAATTAAAGGAAGACAAAAACAATTGGGTAAATCAATTTTTAAAAGGGCCCTAAATAGGGCCATTGACCGTTCTCGGATTTGTATACCATTTGTACTATAACTCGAACTGATGTACGTACGTACGAAGTTCTACTTTGTTGCTGACTGACTGACAGACTGATTGACTGACTGACGATAACAGTTAGATCTTTGTTTACTTCAACTCATTCATAAATGTTGAACTCAATCTTTATCCTTTGTTCATTTCTGATGAATTCTGGATCTGTATTTATCTCATCTAGAGTGTATATGAAGCTCAAGAGAAACACATTCATATAAATTATAAATACATAAATTTATTTAGCTTATCTATGACCTATTTGTGTATTGCTTCTAGTTTTATAATCTTTCTACTGAAGAAACACACATCAATATCTGGGTGGTATGTATCGACAAACGCTTACCCAAGAGATTCCCCCCAATCTGATATTTAAGGAAAATAACTAAATATTCAGTGGAGTACAGTGTGAATAACTGCAAGACCTTTCTATGAAGTGATAGCAAATTTATCATTCCAAATTACTCCAGGAGATTTTTTGGTGAGATTATAATTTATGGACAACCTTTGAGTGAAGCTAAAGTGACCTTGAAAACGTCCACCTAATCACTAGGACTATATAAGGGTTGTAAACCAGTGTAAGGAATTAGAATTATGATTTACAGTTGATGGTTAGCGCTAGGAATTAGATTAATGGTTTCTATCATGAACTGACATCGGTTATGATGTCAAAACGCTACTTAACCAAATGGATGGTTGAATTTTGCGCCAAAACCCCAGACTGGTCATCTTATATCTGATTGGTTCGCCCATAAATTATGGTCTCACCGATCATGATATTTTCAGAAAAGCTTCATATGTATCAAAGATATACTGAAGTCAAACAGAAACTGATATCTTTCAATCATTTTGATTTTCATATTTAAAAATGAAACGATACTCTTAATAATCTAAAGTTTAGGCTTAGTTCACCATTTCTAGTCATGTTTGGGAGATGAAAACCTGTTTATCTCTTTAGTTTAAATAACTAACCTTTAAAAGACTGGGTCATTATTTAACCGACAAAAAGACGAAGTTTGTCGGCATAGAGTGTAAACATATCCAGTCCCTATATTTGTGCCATAATTAACTATTATCAATGCATATAACTAACAGTTTCCTTAAAGTAATCATAATCACGGCTTAATCTGAAAGATCCTAATAAAATTTAAATACCACCAACCGTCAATACGAAGTGTTTGGTTGCGTTCAACTGTGTGCCAATTTGCCGATTTCATTAGTTCGAAATTTGATTGTAAGAGTGTGTAGAGACTCCATTAACCAAATTACCAACTATTATTCTCGTTCTTTATGAACACGTTGATGTGCGCGCATATTTGAACGATCAGCAAAACGTCGGCCACATATAATACATTCATATGGTTTTTCACCTGTATGCGTTCTATAATGTATATCACGAAGCCATGGACGTGAAAAACGTTTACCACAATCTTGACAATGAAATGGTAATGTATGCGTCGCTTCATGTAATCTAAAGTTAACAACAACAAAAGAAGATGAAAAACATTGATATTGTATAATTTAATAATCAATACTTAACGTATTCTTGGTGTATATTCAATATTCAATATCAACAACTATAAGATTATTCTCAACTTTATCATTGATCAACAAGTGCATTACATTCAGCATTCTCAGCCGGGTAAGTGTTACATATTAGAGTGTAGCTTCCATTAAAGATTAGTGATATATATATATATATATATATATATATATATATATATATATATATATATATATATATATATATATTACTATGGTTAATGATCATAATCTATCACTGTCTCTTAACAAAGCATAAATTTATCATTGTTCATACATAAAAGTTCATTATGTTTTATATTCAAACGATACTACTTGTTCGATAAAATAATTAGACAGATGCTTATAATCTAATAGTTGAGTTGTTAAGTCAATTAAAAGTAGACTACTATGGAAAACCTGGATTCATTGAATGTTCGTTTTGTCCTAGTATGATGATCTAGCTTTAATGGACTCATGAATTCAACTATTAAATTATCACAATCTCCAGAAAACCTGTAGTGACCTACTTTTATCAGGAGAACGCAACTGGTTTAATGGAAACGATAATTATTATAAGCAATTGTACCAGTGATTGTTTTACTGTACTTGTTTGTTTAACTGAACTAAAGACATACATTCTTCTGTTGATTGTGAACTTGCACGAATTCGGTTACGCTCAGTAACCACATTTGTACTCCTTTGGCACGATCTCGGTATTCTTTCGATACCACGAGATCGTCAACAAATACATCTCGACTACAGTCATCAACTGCCTTCTGATATTTGGCCTACGGGGATCTTATCGGTTAACTGGAACGTAGTCTTCCTGTAGTGGTGATCATAGTCAACCGCGACTCGATGTCGCACTACAAACTTTTTTTCAGTTGCTTGCAAATTATTCACTGTTTAACGTTGACAATTAGTAAGTGTATTCAGGAAGTAATTAATATATAGGCAGATAACTTAAACATCTTGGCTACCTATTCTTGCCATCTAGATATTCAAACAAGTTATCTGTTTTGTTTTCTATTTGATTTAACAGATTATTATATCAATTAATTGCACAACTTATTCAAGTGTGTTTATGAAAAGTTCACGACTTTTCGCTGTACAAGTTAGGAAAGAGCACAATCAAAGACATTAGGATTGCTGGCAATATACATCGAAAAGAATTTACATTATTCACATGTCGATTACTGAACTGCTAACATCTAATTGGTGATTACTCAATATTTATCGTTAGGATCGATCAAGAAATCAAAAACTTTATGCTGAGAATTCTATATTGTACCAAAAATTTAATATTGAATAAAACCCAGATTCAAATCTCGCGAGACGAGATCGTAGATGCGCACTGCCGAGAAATACCACAATAATACGAAACGGCCGTCCAGTGCTTCCAGGTTTTCCACAGTAGTTTAACTTCAATTGACTCATGATCTCAATTATTGAAATTATTATAATATTCACAAAAACCCCTTCTAAGGTAATTTAATTAAGTGATTAACTTCTGTTGACTTAGATATGAATATAACTTAGTACTGTTATTTTCAACAGTTGTGAACTAGGACAACACTTACTGTTAGTTAGTACTTCCTTTTCTTTTCTTACCTATGAAAACTATTTGTCTAAATTTAATATGGAACTCCTCAGCAATGAGCATCTATGATCCCGGCCCGTGAGATTCAAATCCAGTGCCTATCGATCTAGTGCTTCCAGGTTCCTTCATGGTGGTCTAATTTCAACTAACTCATGAATTCAATTATTAAATGATTAAAATCTTCACAAAAAATCCTTTTCTAATAATAAATTTAATATGCTAAATCAAATGAATTACCTTATTGACGACTTCAGTGAATAAGATTTGCCACAATATCGACAATTATATTGTTCATCAGTTGTTTTTATCACATTTTTTATTGATTGTTTCATCATTAATGATGAGTTACAATTAAAAATGGATAAATCCATTGGGTATAATTGTTCATTATCAATAAAATATTGATTTTTAATCATACTTAATTGATCATTCTGTTCATTATATTGATTAAAACATTCAATTGTTCTATTTGTTTTAATTAATGGTGTAGAATTTTCATTATTTTTAAAAAATATACTACTTATATTAGAATTATTGATTGATGGCAACGATGATGGTGATGATGATGACATTGATGATGAATGTGATAAGATAGAATCGATTGAGAATTTTAATTTGGAAATTTTTTGTTTAGACTGATTCACTCTATTCAAACTATCAATACTTTCATAACCACTATCATTACAATAGATATGACTCGTTGTACATGAGTCCAATTTTAAATTATTCAATAAACAGTTGGGAAAGTTTGAATAATGATTAAAGTTATTGTGGAAATATAAACACTGAGAAAGGTTATCTGGTGTAGGAATAGTGTCTACAAAAGAAAAGAAATGTATGTCAAAGAATAATGGATAGAATAATATACTCATATTGTACGTACACATATATTATATATTATATATATAATTGCTTGCGCACGAAACCGAAGGTGCTGGGTTCGAATCCCGCGAGCGGAATTGGGGATGCTCAATACTGAGGTGTCCCACAATGGGACGAGACAACCGTTCAGTGCTTCTAGATTTTCAATGGTGGTCTAACAACAATCGATTCATAATCTCCACAACCCCATACTGATAACCACTGGAAAGTTATACAAATTTAAGATACTCCACTTTACATCTTCTATCTCAAAATTTTACTTATCTTTCAGAAGTGTAGAAAAATTCTATAAATCAATGACTAATTACTTATCAGCTAACTACAGGAATTTTCAGTTAAATCATTAACAAGAGGAACTCCTCTTCATATCTACATTGGTTTATAGTTCCTTCTATCGATGGATTCAAATAAAAGTCTGATCAAATAAAAGATCTGTATCCTCAAGATAGGTACATGTTTTTCTCCGAATTCTGGCCTATAAAATTTGAAGTTGAAACTTAACTACTAAATTTCATAAGGAAGAAAAGAAGATTGACAATCTATTAACCTTTAGTACATAATAATTAACTATAAAAATATCATTTCATCTTAATCTGAATTTCTTACTCTATACATATCAGAACTCAGTAGCTAGGTGGATAACGCGATGGCATTTGAAACGAACGGTACTGGATCCGAGTCCTAGAGTGGACACCAATTCGGAGATGCAGGTACATCCAGCTGACGAGTCCCAGATGGGACAAAACGCGCTTCCTGGATTCCACTGCTAGTCACTATCCATCTTTACATATAATGCTTGTAACTTAAGGCTATATCGAGGCAATACGCACAGTATGTACACATACCAATAACAGACTGATCGATTGTAGCCCTTAACATCAATGGGAAGATTCCAGTAAAAACAAAATCAATCGACAGTTTTAGGGGTTGCGGAGATTGTTAAGTTTTTGATTAAGATCATGAACCGATTGATGTTAGGCAATAAATCACTAGGTTAAGCGCTTTTGCACGAGACCGAAGGTCCTGGGTTCGAATCTCGCGAGCGGAATTGGGGATGCCCAATGCTGAGGAGTCCCACAATAGAACGAGACAACCGTTCAGTGCTTCTAGATTTTCAATAGTGGTCTAACAACAATCGGTTCATAATCTCAATCAAAATATCAATTGAATCCATTTAGAATTAGTTCAAAGATATGAAATCAACTTACCATTTAATTGAATAGATGCTTCATTTGAGAAGATTGGCGTTGAGAAATTAAATGAATAAGACATATCTCTTTTAGTTTGTTTTTTATACTTTCAAGTGTATGAAACCCGTTTTTACTCTGATAAAAGATGGTAAGTGAAGCTATACAAATTCCCTATTTATATTCATTTTATGATGGTTTTAATGTATCAGGTAAATACACACAAATGCACACAAACATACATACATACATGTTGTATACAATGGTATATACATCATAACTTGATTTTCCCTCCCTTTCTAATTATGATAAAAAATTATCTTTTATCCCTTGGATAAACTAATTGGGAGAATCAAGTTAAATGAATTAAAAGAGTAGGGAATACAGGTCACACACACACACGCACTCATATATTACATAACAATTATTTTTGATGTTTAAACCAATATAAATTTAAAGCGTAAGTGAAATGAATTTTGTTTTAGAGATTAATAATAACTTGGGTATATGCGTGTGTGTGTGAGAGAGAGAGAGTGGGTAAAGAAGAAAATATTGGGGGGGAGGGGGGTTGGAAGAGAATAGAGAAAAAGCGAATATAAGATGATGTTTATTTATGAAATTTATTACTGTGATATAAATAACTGAAACCTTAACCATACAAAAATCCACACCCTAACCCTAACCCTATTTATGTATTCAAAAATAGTTTGTTCTCACCTTAAACTTACTCTGGTAATATTAGCTTATTATTATTATGTGGAAGTGATGAGGTTTCAAATTGGTTTCATATCATTTTCACAGGTTGAAATCATGAGTCAGTTGAAGCTAGACCACCATTGAAAACCTGGAAGCACTGGACGGTCGTTTCGTCTTAGTATGGGACTCCTCAGCAATGCGCATCCACGAACCCGCCCCCGCGGGATTCGAACCCAGGACCTACTGGCTCATGATTTCAACCTGTGAAATTTACTAAAATCTCCACAAAACTCATTCTGATAATAATCAACTGCTCACTAGTGACTGACTTCAGGAGACACTTCTGGAGTTCTAGTGAGAAGTCGTTACCCGTGGAGTTCAACCAGGTCTGTTGTGAGATAGGAACTCACTGAAGACAATGGTGTACGGTAGCGCAACTTCGTGGATTGGTTGAAGTTAGACAATAACACCGTTGGATGCCGGCTCAGTGGTCTAATGGTTAAGTGCTCGCGCGCGAAGCCAGTAGGTCCTGGGTTCGAGCCCCGGGTGGTGCGGGGTCGTGGATGCGCACTGCTGAGGAGTCCCATACTAGGACGAAACGGCCGTCCAGTGCTTCCAGGTTTTCAATGGTGGTCTAGCTTCAACTGACTCATGATTTCAACCTGTGGAATTTACTAAACTCTCCACAAAACTCATTCTGATCATATCATTTTCTTTAGTAGCTTTGTCACCGCTTACCTTCCATTTCTAGTCTAGTTGACCATTTATTTCTTTATATAGATAAATATTCTTAACAAGTATATTAATGTGTGATCAGATTGTTCGAAATGTATTGCGCTAATATATCATCATCACATAGTTCTGATAATCTTCATCATCTTATTACACTATCGAAATAACTTAGCACTAAGATATTGGCAAACATGATTCAGAATTAAAATAAACATTAGTATGAGATGAATGGTTAAGGTAGTAGGATCATTTAAGGATAGAAGGATTGTAAAGATATCACAGTTGAATTCATGAATTGATCTAAACTAAACCATCATTTGAAAACCTATAAGTATTGAATGACCGTTTCGTCCTAGTATAGGACTCCTCAGCAGTGTGTATTCACGATCCCGCAAGCGGGAATCGAACCCAGAACTTTCAGTCTTGATCACGAACGCTTAGCCTTTTAGTTTTATCTTAAATTAAGTGTAGACGTTATAATCTCGGAGACTGAAATAAAAGTAATTTCAATATTCTATCCAGCTAACTGGTGTTAGCTTCTTTTAGGAAATACTTAATATAAATATTATTACAGAATGAATGAGGTTTTAAAAAGCCCAATTTTTAACATAATTTGTTTTAGGTTTTGAACCAATTTGCCAGGCGAAATGTTGGAATTACTGAAATTCCAGACTCTGAGCTCATTTTAAATAGAATTTTCACAAGCAAAGATGGATGGGGGCTAGCAGTAGAATCCAGGACGCGTGTTTCGTCCTATTTATGAATCACCAGCTGGATGTACCTTTATCCCATGATTGATGTTCACTCTGGGACTCGAACCCAGCACCTTCCGCTTCAAGCGCCATCGTGTTATCCACCTAGCTACTGAGTCTTGTGCAATGGGGTGAAATTTAAATTCACAATGGGAAGATCCAAGCAAACAATACCAAGTGAATTTAGGATTTCTACTTGAAACTCAATTTTGTCAAAGTAATTGTTCAAATTTAATCAAATGTTTACGTATGTTGCATTCGACTTTGGATACCTTCAGAGTTCGGATCCTAATTTAAACTATCATGCATAGAATATAATTATGAGCAATATTAAATGTTTATTATTTATTAGGGTTTGATCTGTTTGTCGAAGCGTAGTTATAAACTGAACAGAGTGATAACATGAAATGAAATATGTGGACTATCGGATGTTAACCTAGTCGTTTATATGTAATGTTCTCTCTGTGAGACTTGAAAATCCTGTTTGTCCTGTCACTGGCTATAGATTGAAGTAGTTGTCCACCTGTCAGATGTAACTATCTAATACTTCTAGCATTTTAATGATTCGTTAGATAGAGTAAGTCTATAGAGTAATAAAAAATGGGTTAATCTTCACAAGGTAAATGAAGAAGATTTAACAGGTAGAAGAAATAATACTTTCATTTGGTAGTTCAGATTATGAACTGATATTAGTTCGCCAGCCACTGTACATCAGGAAGCACTAGATACTTATTTGATCCTAGTTTGGTAATCTTCATTGCTGCATACCCAATGCTGCACAGGAGACCGAACCCATATCATTCAAGTCTCACAGAGAACATTCAACCCATAAACTATTGAATCAGAACCCAGTTGTTTACATTTCTCCCTACAATCAATTCACGATATTGCACAACCATTTGACAACGCCTTTGGTAGGTATTTGTCTCGAACTCAACATGACAGAACTTCACTGATCATAGCTTCTCACTAAAACTCAGGGCAATAACTCACAAAATTAGTCATTAATGATCATGTGACTTTGATTTGGGATTGTATGCATATAGTTACCTGACGAATTTGAATAGGCAAGATACACGGTCGATATTGTAAATATCCCAGATTATTTAAGAGTTGCGTAGAATAAAGTTATTCTTACATCACAGTAAATAACGATTCTGGTAGAAGTTGATGAATATTAGTGCAATAGCTAGTTAAAAATGCACTGGAGATTTCTGAAGTTGTTTTAGTGGTTATATGTAATAAATACAGCTTCTATCAAATCTCCTTAAAAGGATGTAAACTTATCCTATTTAGGTTAGAGAGTCTGTGTGTATTCCTCACTTTAAAGCCGTTAAAAATCAGAGGATAAGTAATAACAGCCAAGAGAGTTTAAATATCTACCACACTGCATTGATCTGACTTTACACAAATCTAACTTCAGGATTTTCTAGTCAATGTGAAAAATTTAGTCTACTGTATGGGAATCCGATGATTTAGGTTTTAGATGTTGTTGATATCTGCGTTAAGTTTCGATTCGAGATTGTGTGATTGTTTTTTTCGGGGGTGGGTAAATATTACTGAAGATTGTCTAAATAGAGTAAAACAATTGTCCAACGCTCTCTGATTTCCAACAGTTCACGCCTAACTGATATCGATATCCACTGACATTGAATTTTATGTCACTTGGTTACACGATCAGAAGTTATTCAAACTATTAATAACCTCTTGAATTATTACAACTAAGGATGTTAGCCAGTTAGCAAATCACATTCAACATTACATTTGTCTGATCACTGTTGTATGTGAATTGCACTGAAAATATGCGAAAAAACTATACACAAACTGTGGTAGTAGAAAAGTTATTGACATAATGTCATTTACATCAATTATTATTCCTTTTGAAATACTTTCAATTTGTGACAGTACATTTCACTTATCCTCATCTTTGTTGATGAAGATATTCTTTGATACTGTCGAAATCTTCAGCTGACTCATTTCTTCCTGAATTCACTTCCTCAATAATCATCTGGATAATGAATAAATGATCAGAAAGTACAATAGACCACACGTACTCTGTTACCTAAATAATTCAATTGTGCAAAAGTCAACTTTGTTATCCTCAGTGCGTGCGAGAACCAAGGTCCTGTGTTCGAGTGCTGAATATGGGGTCTTAGGTGCGTACTGGTGAGAAGTCCCATACTAAGATGAAACGGCCATCCAGTGCTTCCAGATTTTCAATGATGGTCTAACATCCATCGATTCATGATCTCAATCAAAAACTTCATATTCTCCACAGATCCATACTGACAAAATATTTTTTTAGTATTTTCTCGGTTGTTGAAAACTTTTACAAAGAATTACTGAAGTTTACTAATGAAAACGTTCAAACTAATCTTAACTATATTCATTAGTGTACGATTATATGCAACTAATTTACTTAATTCTATGTTGGATGGTTTCTCTCTCATATGTCTGACATGATAGAATTTACAACTAAAATAACTTTTTCGGGAATCTGATCACAAATTGAGACCACTTCATGAAACATATATATATAAATACATATTTACATTTCTTATTTATGCCTATCACCTCGTGGAGCATAGGCTGCCAACGAACTCTGTCCTCGCCTGTACTTTTCAGTTGTTTACAACTGGTATTTACTCTTTTGATGTCTACCTCGAATTCCTAGTATGATACATTCTTTGATTTTCTTTTTTTCTTTTTCCGTTCACGATTCCAAGTTAGTACTTGCCTCGTGATACAGTTTCATGATTTCCATAACGTGTATCCTATCCAATTCCAATGTCTTTTCATGATTTCCTCTTCAGCTGGAAGTTGATTTGTTCTCTCCCACAGTAAGCGATTGCTGATGGTATCCGGTCAATAACGGACATTGAGTATCTTGTGTAGATAATTGTTT